CACGTATAAAATATAGTTATTCAAAGAGGTCCTTCCAAGTCGTTTTTCTTAAATAATAAATTCATTTAGTGTTTTAAAAGTTGTTGCGCTTGTGTGTTATTTTAAATATAATAATCTCCCATATTCCATCATATTATTCCCATTATATTATATTATATAATTCACGATATATATATGTATATATAGTTGTATAGTTTTATACAGTCATATATATAACTAACCTAACCCAGCCTAATGTAATCCAACCCAACCTATACATTCATAGTTTACAATGCAATTATAAGAATTTTTGAAAAATTATGTAGAATCATTAAGGTGTCCTCATCAGTCACCACTGTGTGTACCGGCTAGGTACGTCATTGGCAGCAAGCTGTGACGTCACCTGACGCATGCGCATAAAGCTCTCGCGTGAGATAAAATCTCACGACTGCCCAACACTGCGGTAGAGGCATGATTGAAAATTACTAAAAGCAACTGAAAGCTATTGTGTACGTACCGGTCATGTTTGTGAGCCGTTAATTGTTTTTACATTCCTGTTTTTCAAGCACGAATGCTGAGAAAAAGAGTAATTATAATTCCACAAATATTACTTTGAAGAAAAAAATAAGTCACAATGACGAAAGGTATAGTTTTATTTTAATTATAATATAAATATCAAAAGAATAGGTTATGCAGTTAGAGTGTATCGTTCATTATGTGTTTTTAAGATATATTTATGATATTAATGTTGACCTGAGCATATTTTCAATGATTTTGGAGCTCTATTAAAATTAATATTTATTATTGATTATTAATTTTATCATAAATATCGTTTTTGTTTCAAGTTTAAACAAAAGGAAATATTTGAAATATTTCTAATTAGTTGTAAGATATACCATGAAATATTTGATTTATATATTGTTATAATTGATAATCTAATTTTTAGATAATATCCATTATAAAGAGATAATAAATGAAAATGTTTATTTATAAATAATTTATGTAATTGTTTCAGACGAAACTTTAGAAAAAAAATCAGTAGAAAACAATGATACTGATAAAAAAGCTACATCTGAAAGTGGACCTGATCCATCAGCTCCAATAACTAGAAGAGGAGTATTGACATCGTTTTTAACTGGCAAACCTATGGAAATACCTGAACAGGACATTGTAAAGATTTTATTACTTATTTTAAACATTTTAAGATATTCATTTATGTCTTATTAATGCTTTAATGTTATTTTTTCTTATAGCTAGGTAAATGTAGATTTGTGTCAGAATTTGAAAAATTAAATCGTATAGGAGAAGGTACATATGGTATTGTTTATCGAGCAAGAGATACCAAAAATGATAAAGTAGTAGCTTTAAAGAAGGTTCGCATGGAAAATGAAAAAGATGGTTTACCAGTTAGTGGTTTAAGAGAAATATCTGTACTTTTATCATGTCGTCATGAAAACATAGTACACTTAAGAGAAGTAGTAGTGGGAAGAAGTTTAGAAAGCATATTTCTTGCTATGGAATATTGTGAACAAGACTTAGCGAGCTTATTAGATAACATGCAAGCGCCATTTTCAGAAAGTCAAGTCAAATGCATTGTTTTACAAGTACTAAAAGGTTTACGCTATTTGCATCACAATTTCATTGTACACAGAGACTTGAAAGTGTCAAATCTTTTAATGACTGACAAAGGATGTGTAAAAATTGCTGATTTTGGATTAGCAAGATGGTTTGGTTTACCTTTAAAACCAATGACACCAAGAGTAGTAACACTGTGGTATAGAGCACCAGAATTATTGTTACAAGCAAAGACTCAAACAACTTCTGTTGATATGTGGGCTGCTGGCTGTATTCTAGGTAAATAATTTGTTATATTTGATCGTATGTAGACAAGAATTTATTAAAGTAAAATAAAAATTTTATGTTCATATTAGGGGAATTACTTGGGCATCGGCCTTTATTACCTGGGCGATCAGAAATTGCACAATTAGAATTAATTGTCGATTTATTGGGTACACCAAGTGAAGCAATTTGGCCTGAATTTAATACCTTGCCAGCATTACAAAACTTTACATTAAAACAACAACCATATAATAATTTAAAACAAAGGTTTCCGTGGTTAAGTGCTGCAGGTTTAAGATTGTTAAATTTCTTATTTATGTATGATCCAAAGAAAAGAGCTACAGCAGAAGAATGTTTACAAAGCAGTTATTTCAAAGAAGCACCTTTGCGTGAGTAATATAAGATAATACACATTTCACATTTTATTAATTAGAAATTAATTATGTCTAAATATGATTATTATTACAGCATGCGACCCTAAGCTTATGCCCACATTTCCTCAACATAGAAATATGAAAAAAGCTGCTCCAACAAAGGAAACTAGAGAACCAGAGACGACTGTTACAGATCAGACTAATAACCTGCCTGCAATTTCAGATCTTGTAAGTTTGTTGTATACATTGAGTATTGAGTATATTGAGTATTGAATTTTAAGTATTAAAATTAATGTTTTTTTTTTCAGCTTGGATCACTTGTTAAGAAGAGACGCGTTGAATGAATTTAAAAAATATAATTCTATTCCAGATTTCAGATACAATTTAAACAGTATTGTTTCTGAACCGTAAACGTCACATTATGACTTGTATCTTTCATTAAATATGTGTAAATTCATTCATAAACAAATTTTTAAAATAAAAACATTTTATTAATGAATATCTGGGAAACTATATGAAATAAAGCTTTCTTATTTTCTATTTAAGAAACATATATTGTACTTAATATATTAATTTAATAGCATGAGCGAAATGATACAAAAATTTGGCTCGATTCTACACTTAGAATAAAGCTTCTGATGAATTTCATAATATTATAAACGTATTATTTATATTTTAAACGTTCATATGCATACCTTTACATAACAATACAAAAAATGAATCACTTATATTTTTATTGTACAAATTAAATCTTATTTCTAAACGCCAGATTTCTATACATAAACTTATGAGTTTTTGGCAGCTAGAGAATTTTCGTAACGTTTCTTGTATTCTCCTTGAGGATCATACTTTGCAGTAAGTCGTTCCCAGTCTCTTGGTCTTTTGGTTTTTAGATAATTTACTACCTTCTCAGCAGTAAGTTTTTGTTTTTCATTGCATTTGCTACAGCCTGTGGATAAAGCATCTGGCAACGTTTCTGAAATTATAAAATGTACAGCTTAGTTAATATTTTCATTTTATTATAAAAATCCTACAAAATTACTTCATATATTTTTAACTCATATTTGGATACATGATTACTTAGGATATTTAATTCAGGTAGTATTTTACAGAATTACTGAATGTGTTTTGCAACGTATAACGACTTGATGATAGAATAAAGAATTATATAAATTTGTTAATTATTATATTAATATGTATCAAAGTATTAAATAATGTATTTGTGAGTTTTTAGTACTTTCAGAATCCGAAGGAGGATTAAACTAGTCACCTTGGATATAATTAAAAAACAATGAAGAACTTGAATATTTTGTAGAAAACATTTCATAAATAGAAATTTAACATTATACATATTTATTTTTTAAAGAAAAATTAAAAAATGATATTTATAATAAATAAGAAACATGTAATAGATATTGCTGTACAATTAAATTACTTCTATTTATATTTATCATCTAATAAGGTCTAGTAATTTTTAATTTTAATAACGAATATTATAAAGTGATGATGAATAAAGTGAATAAAAATAGAAATAAAATTATAGGCAGCTTTTTCTATATTTAAGTACGTATAACAAGAACCTGAACGTTATTTAAGAAAGTTCGATGTAATCCGAACGAGAAAGTTCAAAGCAAGTTACGTAATAAAGAGAGGGAGAGTAAGTTGAACTCTGTTGTAATCGTTGCAGCAGATGCACGTCGAAATTTCCAAACGAAATCAGCATAATTTTTAATCACGTGTCCAAATATATTTATTGTTAATATTTACATAAAAGAGAATTTACCTAACGTACATTTCGTTATTTTCACGAACAATTAATTTTAATGCATAAAATAAAAAATGGAGTAAAAAATATTTAGATGAAAAAATATATATTATATTTAAATTTATTGATATAATTTTAAATACTTTCCTATTATGTTTACTTAAAATATAATTATATTAATTTTTTTCAAACGATTTCAGATCGATATTTATTTGAAATATTGAATATTAAAAAATGCTGAGGATCGTAAGAAAGTTAATAAAATTATTCATTTGAAATACAAATATTAATAATAGTAATTAATTGTACATTTAATTTAATCGGGACAAAAATATTAATATGCAATGTATGAACTGACAAAATTTACACCAACACTATATAAATTAGAGGAGAAGCAAAGTGGTATAGAAAAATGGATCAATTATTTCAAGACAATCCTCCCAAAAACAAGTAAAAAACCGGTGTATGATACACATTTGTTCTTAAATTGAAAATAAAGTAAAAGAATAAGTAAATAAAGGTTTGAACATAAATTAGTATATACATTAACTCGTTATTTCAGCAATAAACAACGTATACTTCAAGAAAAGCATCTCCACCAAAACCACGATTTAAAATAGGAAACCCGCGAACCGGTCTTTTAACCGATTTAATAATTTTAGTATTAAATTAAGAGTAGTACGTAATATCAAGATAAAATTATAAGTTCAATGAACATTCTGTTGTCGTAAAATACTAACAAATTATATTATGATAATTAAATATTATACAAAATCGAAAAGCTGACACTTACTTTTCAATTCTCTACCCTCGTTCGTACACGGCCCTTCGTCCAACATGCATTTGATGTAATTGGAAAGAACACGTCCGTTTTGGAGTATCCTATCCACGTCGATATCATCATATTTGCTTGGATATTTGTCTGCTGCAGTTACACAAACGATTACGACTAAGCCGAGTAACAGGAAGAAAACTTTCATATTGCGGTCAAAACGTTTTCCTGTTTCTAATACGGAAAGATCAAATCGCGGAACAGCGTACGGAAGTAATGGATGTACGGTTACGAATTACTTCATGGAATCACGATAACGAAACAAAAAACAACGCTCGAAAAAGAGAATTGTTTTTGAAATGTATCCTCTACCGTGGAAAGTTAAATGCTGTTTGTAACTGATGGAGTTAAGCTTCCGAATTATATAGCTGATCGCAGAGGACATTGGAGGGAGTGGACAAACGCGTTAGTCGAGGATTTATACGCACCTTTGTAAATCATATATGTTGAACAACGTTTATCGGTATACGCAAAAGATTTCATTAAATACAACAATAAGACGTTTTTACTGTTAAAAATTTTCGAAAATTGAGAATAGGATTGAGAATAGGAGTATTTCAACAAAAACAAATCATTAGAATTATCAATTGTTACTAATGTTGTACGTCGTTATTGTGATCGCATAAGATATAGATAATTTGTGTATAAACCGAATTACTATGAACAGACTTTGTTCTGATCGTTGCAAATAAGTATGTAGAAGAAACATATTTAAATACACATACATACGTGGCAAGATATAAGCATTACGTGCAATACATTTTAAATCTAAAATATGCACATTGTTCGGATAACAAAACGTTCAAATAAAAGAACGTTCACTTAATAAAACATGCTTTGACAATCGATATTATACTGCAATTGACGTAAATAAGATCTGCGTTACCAGTGGGTTAGTTTTTTTAGCTTTATTAATAGTGCCAGTGTTTTATATTAAACATAAATGTGACTTTTGGAGATTTAAAAATTTGGAAATTGGTGTTTGACATTTGGGAGTTTAGGAATTTGGGAGTTTGGGAACTTAGGAATTTAGGAATTTGGGAATTTGGAAATTTGGGAATTTGGGAATTTGGGAATTTGGAAATTTGGTAATTTAGGAATTTGGTAATTTGGTAATTTGGGAATTTGGGAGTTTGGGAATTTGGAAATTTGGGAATTTAGGAATTTAGGAATTTAGGAATTTGGGAATTTAG